ACACTTTTTTTTTTTCTCCAATTGATATCTCTTTTAATGGTTTCGATTTTGTTTCTTTCGATCTCTGTCAGCTAGAGGCACAAGAAGCTGGGGTATTGCTGCGATGAAGATCAAAGGCTTCTTGTTGCAGAGTTCATGCCAAATGATACTCTTGGTCAGCTTTTGTTCCATCGTATGATTCATCCTCTTTTTCTCTTCTTTTGTTTTCACATTTAGCAGTTGGGGAATCTGAGGTTAAAAAGGCTGCATTGTTGGTTTATTTGACATGATTTTGTGTTAAAGATGGTGTTAATGTATATGCTTGTAGAATCGATATTGATCAGAACTTGATACAAATCTCTGTTTTTTGAAGTTCTGTTTCTGTTGTGATCACAGAGATAAACCAAACCATGGAATGGTCAGTGACGTTGCGAGCGGCATGTCATGTAGCCGAAGCATTAGATTATTGTAGCCATCCAAGTTCTGTTTGATAAGGTATACATTAAAACATATTTCCATGAACGTGCCTATAGCTTCTTAATGATCTATGGATGCTAAACTGTTTTATATTGCATAATGGATATGTTGAAGGATGATGATGCATGTATTTCCTGTTTCTGTTTAGTGAGGGAGATCATCGATTATGATCAAATAACAACAGGTAACCAATTCCTACTTCTCTCGTCAGAATGATTATTCATGTTATTCACATCTAAATGTGATGTTTATATTCTCCTTGTAGGAAGTGTGAACCCTGAGACTGTGACATACAGATCTGGTACTATACTTGTGAATCTGCTAGATGGAATGCACATTGCTCCAAGCCATGTAAGTGATTCTGTTTAAGCCCTCTCCTCTCTTGAATTTGTGATTGTAATCATTAGATTCTCTGTCATTGTCAATGTCTTGCAACACAAGCCAAATACAAAAGCGAGTTTTTCTTCAGTTTTAGGGTTTGGTCGATTCGTGATTGTTATTTTCCTAAATTTCGAACCTCTCTTTTTCAAAATCAAAAATTCGATTTGGTTTTTCATCAAGCAAATACGAAAGCCTTCTTTTCTTAGTTGTGTTATTGCATCTTAAGGTTTTCAATTTCAAAACTTGCGTTTCGCTTTAAAGATTTTACGTTGTTGTTTCAAATTGGGTTTCTGATTGTTTTGTTTCTGCAAATCAAAAGCCCTCTTTTTGCTTTGTGTTTTTTTCTTTTTCGAGGGGTTTTTTTTATTTTTCTTGATTATAGTTTTCTTAAATTTGAAACCTTTTCTGCAAATTCAGAGTTTCGATTGATTTTTTTATATATTTTCGTAAATCAGAAATCCCTCTTTAGAATTCCTGTTTTCTTCTGTTTCGAGGGATTCTTACTTCAAATTTTTGTTTGTCTAAAGTTTTATGTTTTCTTCAAACCCAAAAGAAAGGGACTACACATTATATGATTGTGTATGTCCGGTTTCTAACTTGGGGAGATGTTGCCTATGTTAAACAAGCAGGATGTGATTAAAATCTGTAAGACTTGTAAAATTATATTAGACAAGCAAGATTTTATTGAAATCTGTAAGGCTTGTAAAATTATGTAAGACAAGCATCATTTTGATTGAAATCTGTAAGTCTTGTTAAATTATGTAATGCAAGCATCATTTTGATTGAAATATGTAAGACTTGTCTAATTATTTAAGACAAGCATCATTTTGATTGAAATCTGTAAGTCTTGTGTAATTATGTAAGACAAGCAAGATTGGATTGAAATCTGTAAGTCTTGTTAAATTATGAAAGACAAGCAAGATGAGATTGAAATTTGTAAGACTTGTCTAATTATTTAAGACAAGAGATTTTGATTGCAATCTGTAAGACTTGTTAAATTATGAAAGACAAGCAAGATGAGATTGAAATCTGTAAGACTTGTCTAATTATTTAAGACAAGCAAGATTTTGATTGAAATCTGTAAGACTTGTCTAACTATGTTCAAAGATTGGATAATTGAATCTAATCGATATATTGCTGGCTGGGCAGCATAACTTCAAGTTTCTGCATAGAACTGCTTTCATTAAGGCTTTTCTAATGATGTCCTAAGAAGGATAAATTCAATGATCTGCTTATTGATGGGGATAAAACTCAATGATCTGCTTATTTGATCGAGATAAATTCAATGATCTGCTTATTTGATGGAGATAAATTCAATGATCTGCTTATCGATTTGGATAAATTCAATGATCTGCTTATTTGATGGGGATAAAACTCAATGATCTGCTTATTTGATGGGGATAAAACTCAATGATCTGCTTATTTATGGGGATAAAACTCAATGATCTGCTTATTTGATGGAGATAAATTCAATGATCTGCTTATTTATGGGGATAAAACTCAATGATCTGCTTATTTGATGGAGATAAATTCAATGATCTGCTTATTGATTTGGATAAAACTCAATGATCTGCTTATTTGATGGAGATAAATTCAATGATCTGCTTATTTATGGGGATAAAACTCAATGATCTGCTTTAAAACTCAATGATCTGCTTATTGACGGAGATAAATTCGATGATCTGCTTATTGACGGGGATAAATTCAATGATCTGCTTATTGACGGAGATAAAACTCAATGATCTGCTTATTGATGGAGATAAACTCAATGATCTGCTATGACGGGGATAAATTCAATGATCTTCTTATTGACAGAGATAAAACTCAATGATCTGCTTATTAATGGAGATAAATTGTCTTTTATAAGACTTGTCTAATGAATTCAGATTGGGGAATTCAGTTGTATGGATGAAAAAGCATAAAAACATGTAGTTAATCCTTTCTGCCTAGCTCTTGAAGCTATTCCTGTTAGCGAAGGCACATCATTGTGCAACGCTTTATGGGTCAGGCTCGAGCAAGGCACTAAAGACAAAGAGAGAGAGATGACGCACTAAAGGCAAATCAATATACATCTTACTGAGAAATGATATTCATTGGGACATCAAGTTCTAATTTTCAATATTCTGCATAAAAAAAATCTTAACTTGCAGACTGTATCTTTCCCTCTTTTAATCAGGTAAGTGTCTCTTTCGTCTTTTAAAACAATGTATAATCTTCATAATATTTTTCCTTGATGGATTTTGTAGTTCGTTAATTGATTACATCTTTTGATCACGTAGTCTTTTATAACTATTTGACTATGAGTGATTATTTATCTATTTTTTTTAGCTTCAGAAGACCAAGAACTGGAGTGTGTATACGTGATCGTTCTCAGGTTCAACTTCTCTCCCTCGGTTTGAAATATTATAGTTTGAATACTTATAGTAGTAGCATTTTGGTAAACTCTGGTGCACAAGAAGATTAGATGAATGAACAGGTAGGTATTCGTATCCTATAACTGCTTGTTTATAAGAGAGAATTTAATTTTATATATGAGTCCTATATCTGCTTGTTTATAAGAGAGAATTTCATCCTTATAAGATTTCTTCTCTCTGTCCCTGTTTCAGCAACTTTTGGAGTGTCTCCAAAAGAAAGCTTTGGTTTCTCAGGTACGTCCTCTGTATATTGCTTTGATATGTAATTGTATTAATTAGTGGTTGCGTTTAGCTTTTTGTAGTAGTTGCATGAGTTCGTGTACATAGATAAGATGTAAGCATGAGTTCTTGCAAGTTTTATTTATGTCAAAGACTCTTAATCGTACATTTTTTTTTTTTGTCAAAGTATCTTAATCGTACATCTGATATGTTTTTCAAATAAGGCATCTTTGGTGGTAGTGTAGTGTACATGAATTCTTTTATCAATATGATAGTGTTGTTGCTTGCGTTTTAATTGTTTTAGTGGACAATGTTCGATTTTTTAACCGGAAAATTTAGCAGGTTCTGATCAGATAATTTGTTATCCCTTAACCAAAGTTGTGATTCATATATTGTTTATGTTGTTGCAAAGTTGAGATCTCATGATTTTCCAACGTTCAATGATTTCTTTTTGTCTTACTATACTAATTTATGGTTTATATCAAACTTGCAGGAACTAAAGGGTTATTATCTCTCCAAGTCCACGCGATTCTAAACATTTGACTTTGCCATCCACGCGATTCTTCAATGATTTCTTTTTGTCTTACTATACTCATTTATGGTTTATATCAAACTTGCAGGAACTAAAGGGTTATTATCTCTCCAAGTCCACGCGATTCTAAACATTTGACTTTGCCATCCATTTGTGGTCTAAAACCTCATTCTCTTCTTTGAAACCAAAGGTATAGCCTATAATCATCTTGAGGTCCCTACATCTGGTACAGTTTTTTTTTCAGCCTTCAGATATATTTTTAAGCAAAGCATAACTCTTTGATTCTTCAATCAGAGGGCATGATTGGAGCTTTTGTGGCGTGCGTCGTCTTCAACACTCTTATTTCCAAGTAAGTAACTTTCTAAGTTTACTTAAGACATATATGCATGAACGTTTTTAGATATTTTGTTATTGTTGGCTTTGGTTTATTTCTCCTTTGGCTGTGTGTTTTTTTTTTCTAGGTGGATTAATGTTTCCTTTAGAAAACCAAACCTCAATTAAAGCACCCACATCTTTAGAGCACACTGATACAAATAATCGCATAACACGAACACATACACACAAAAGTAACTTTTGTGCTCACACTAATACAAACATAAATGCATTACACGGACACATACTCTAAACGTAAACATAACTTTTGTGCTCACACATGAACTTACTAACTTATTTTAATGCAACACAATTGGAAATACAATTGTTTATGTTGTATGATGAACGAGTGCTAAACAGAAGTTTATGAAATTACTTACTAACCCTCTGTTTATATAAGAGGCTTATGTACAGTTTTTCATTAGTCTGAAAAGTCTCGGTACGACTTCATTTTTCAATTTGTGACATGGAATCAGAGCCGTGAAAAAGCCTCTCTTTCATTCACACATTTTCTCTTTGATTCCTTGGAACTTTTCCAAGAATCACTCTCTATTCTATAATCATATATAGGATTAGAGGTAAGCTTGGCCATTTGGTTACTCGGATCGGTTCCATTCAGATTCATTTCTTCGGTTCTTGAGATTTCGGTCTCATTCGCGTAATTTTTTGGTTCGGTTTTGGTTCCGGTCCTTTCGGGTCCGGGTTGGTTACTTTTTACTCGAAATTATTCAAAAGTAACCTTAAACCCGAAATTACCTGAAATACTTAAAACAAATTGTAACTGTATCAACCAAATATACCCAAATTACCTTGAAATTAGTCATGGCATAATCCGTTTAAACCGAACCCAATAAACCGACGATTTTGACTTTCGGTTTGAAATTGATTATTGTTGTAAACCGATCGGCAGAATTTTAAATTGATTTTGGTTTTTGAGTTTTTCGGTTCGGTTCATCAAAACCGATTAGTATTTCAGTTAAAGGAGACACCTTATATTAACAGAAAACCCTAGCTAGATCTATCACTTCATATGTTTGTTTTCTAATCTCTCCTTCTCACGAACCCTTCTTTTCTCCTCTTCGACAAACCCTCTTTATCTTTGACCTTCTAATCCTTCTTGTTGGTGTCGGATCTCAGTATTCGCCCAGCCCGGAGGGAAAATGGTTTATCGTAAATGGGCCGCAAGATCCTAAATGGGCTGAGAATTGTAAGCAAACTGTAAGAAATGGCTGAGATGTCATAGCCGTTATCGAAGTTGAAGGGCATTCCCCAATGCGTGTAACAGACAAATCTTCCTAGCCATAATGAAGAGACGTTGATTGCGGAGCATTTAATAGTCCGTTATGCGGATTGTAAGTAACGTCTAGGCACTATTCGCGGCGGGAAAATGGCTGCATTAATGAAATATAGTCTAGGGTTCGCATAAAAATAGTAAGGTGGACGAAAAAATCTTGTAAAAAAACTCTTATCACGATTAATACTATACACTTTTCAACTCTCGATTCATTGCTTTACGATTCGAATGTGCTCATCTCACGAGGCCTAGATCCCCAATTTGTCCACAAATTCTTAAGTGCGGATTCCGACATCATCCATATTTTAGCGCTAGGAGGGGCAGCCCAGTCTCTCACTCTAGAGTATCAATCGAATCACTATGGCAAACAATAGAGATCAAACCTCTATGCTCGACGAAATCAAGAAGATGCTGAAGGATTTGGATGATAAGTCAGATCAACAGCAGCGCACCATCGCTGAATTGTCTGAGAAGTTCATATCATTTGAGGAGCGTTCCGACACTTATGCCGACAAATCGACACTCTTATTCAAGGGAATTTGCGAACCTATTAAGAGGGCATTTAGAGTTTTACGACCCTATCCACCCGAACCCTCAATTTTCTCAAACTGTTGTTGCTGGTGGAGTACTCCGCTACTGCTGTGTCCGGAAGTCACGCCTCTTCCCCATAATCCGAAATGCAACAAGATTTTTCACACTTCAATCCAGAGATCCAAAGCATGCAGAACAAGATCCAAGAAATTAAAGTCCATAAGGCCACCAACTCGGCTCTCGTGGTGGACATGGTAATTGAAGAAAAAAATAGAACTCTTTTCACACCTTGCATCTCTGGATTTCGTATCCGAGATACCAGGGAGATAAAACTCCCGAGCTACGGTGGGTAAGGAGATTTGAAGGAGCATCTTACCTTTTTCCGAGACTCTACGGGACGCGTACGCCTTGAACCGCATGAAGATGATGCATGACCCTGTAAATTGTTTGTTGAGAACCTTTTCCGGACCGACCCTCTCATGGTTCACTCAGCTCGAAAAAGGATCGATCGATAACTTCAATCAGCTGTGACATGCTTTCATTAAGCAGTATGGTTACTTCATCAAGCATGCAGTCACTAATGCTCAACTTTGGAACCTTTCCCAAGTGGTAACTGAGCCACTTCGCGTCTACATTTCGACATTCAAGGAAATCATGGTTCAGATTCCTAGATTGTAAGATTCAGCATCTTTATCAGCTTTCAAAAATGGTTTAAGGCATGAGTACCGCTTTTGTAAAGAATTGAACGTTAATCGACCTACAACAATCCTAAACGCACTTCACCGTGCAACGAATTGGATCAATGCCGAGGAAGAGCGAGTTGCCCTGGCTAACTAAGAAGTTCAAAACAGCTCTGAAGTCACGTTATCTTTGAAAAACAAAAATGGCGCTTTCCCATGTGACAAATGGGTCCGAGATCCGCTTGCTCATTGCTCCAATTGCTTATTACTAATTTCACAAGATGAATGAGCACGCTACGGAGCTCAAGTAA